GTGAACTATCTGCTGAGCCAACGGCCTCTTGAGGTCGTTGGATCAGCAGATAGTTCACCGTGTGCGGCGGCCAGTAGCGGATTATCTATGGGGCAAAGGGGGCATTTGCCCCCGGCCCTACAAGTCGACCGGCCCTAAAGTGTTGTGACTACAAAAAAAAAATACTGTTTATTATTTTTTCCAAAGTATATCTTGGGCCGGCCCTACCACTTTCATATGACTACATTTGTTTTTGCTTTCTACTTGTTTTCATTTTCTCCGTGTTTTGTGGTGTACATTGCAACAGCTAGGAATAATATTCACTTTAAGGTAGCTATTGGGGTTAAAACTACCAATTTTTCAAAATATGATTTTTTTTAAATTTTAACTCTACTAATTATTTTAGAACGTTTCCTTTCCATTTTTCAACATTAATTGCTTATAATTATCCACTAAACAGGTCTAAAAACATTATATGCTTATGGGAAGGGGGCGGGTGGTGGGCGGCCCAAAGATATGATATGCCCCCGGCCCAGGCAACTGTTAATCCGGCGCTGGCGGCGGGCATGAACAACTTCCAGGTGGACAACCTTGAAAATATGCTGCTGGAAAAAAATGGCGGCCATTTTTCAAAATGGCCACCGTGTGTAACTAATGATGATCAATTTTTAAGATAATGTTAAGATAGAACTTATGATTCTATATATTCTTATATAGATTTAAGAAATATAGATACCTATGTGTGTGGTATCATATTAAAGGGAATTAAATTCTATACAAGATGATACCACATTTCATGGGCTTGGCGATGATTTTAATGACAATTTTGGGCCAAAAATGAGATTTTTTACCATTTTTTCCCAAAATATGAATTGCACCAAAATACATTTTCTCCATATTTTAAAAGTCCTTTTGAGTAATGAATTGAAACTTTTCAGAAAACTGCCCATATGTATGGTTAATATTGTCGCAAAAGCTCAAGTTTATTGCTTTTCTAACAATAAAGTTATATTGCTCCAAAGTTAACATTTTGATATTAACTAAAAGCAGCATTTTGTACATTATAGTGGGGTATCATGAAAATAGCTCCCGTAGGATTTTTGTGCTAAAATTATTATTTTTTGCTTTATCGGGTTGATTTAGGGTCAAACTATCAGAAAATTGTGGGGTTCAAATTTAATTTAGTTTTAATTTTAGTTAAATTTAATTTTATATAGTAATATTCCTTCTCTTGATTCTAAATCTGAAAGCTGAGCATGAAAAAAAAACACAAATAACAAACGTTTACTGTCATTTTAATTGTGAACAGAATAATGGGACAGAATGACAAATAGACCTTGGACACTAATACATAAATTACCTGTCACCGTGTGTTAGTTAATTGTCCCTGTCTGTTATGTTATACGTTGTCCTAAACGTATAGTAGACATGCTAAGTGTTTTTTGACTTCAACTCATGCTACAAATGTCCCCTTTG